CATGGTGGACATCTTCTAGGTAGCTCTGGGAAACCTGAAGAGAGAGAGAGAAAGAGAAACGTGAAGCAGCTGCTAAACCAGGATCCTTCTGGACTCTGTGGACCGGATCTTTGACCCAGAACAGCTGCAGCAGGACAGAACGTGAGCAGAACCTTCAAACACAGAGCTTTTTTAAATCTTCTGTTAGATTAGACAAACGCAGACCATAAAACTAAAGACACTGAGGGACACGGGGACGTCTCTCTGTGGAGGACAGACTGCTCTGGTTTGGATCAGGGCTGCAGACTCTCAGACTAACAGAGGACACACTGATGCTGCAGTGACGCCGCCTCTGGGTACACGGATTTAATCCCAGCAGAGACCGGACCGCAGAGACGAGGACAGAAACAACGACCTCAGAGTGGAAATGAAGGGAGGAGGACAGACGACAAGGAGGCTTCGGTTAGTGAAGGAAACATCTGAAGATAGACTATGACTCAGACAGACACGTCGCTGCTGGACGCCACGTGGAGGAAATGATGTCAGAGGAAAGACCCAGCCCTGCTGTTTGACTGGAGTCCAGAGAAGACCGAGCCGGTCTTCCAGGTTCTAGCAGCTGCAGTGAGGACAGGGGAGGGTGAGGGGGTGAGGGGGTGAGGGGGTGAGGGGGTGTTCAGGACGAGAGGGAAAGATGAGAAGGAAAGGAAGAGGGTCTTTCTGTTCCAAACACCAACAGGAAACTCCACTTCAACATGAGTCCGTCACTTCCTGTTCTGCTGTATACAGTCAGTAAATGTCAAATCAAAACAGACCGAACACAACGATCACTGATCCTCACTGACATCAGCGTCTTTAGAGACTAAAGAGCTCATTAACACACCGAGTCTGAGGACTTTTACCACTAAACTACTTTATAATAATATAAGACATCTTTAAGATCAATGACTGCTCTGAGCTGCCCAATAATAGATGATCAATTCATCTCATCTGTCTCAGACCATCAGAGGCTGCTGTATCAAACTGATCAATAACAGCCGAGGACAAACACACTGAGTCCAAAACTGTCCTGAGGAGTCAGATCCAGCTGAGGGTCCGAGTCTCTTTACCGTCCAACACTGAGATCATTAAAGACGTGTAACAAGTAACACCCACCCAGAGCGGCTTCACTGTCAGAGTCACAGCTGAGGACATGAAGATATGAAGACATGAAGACATGAAGACCATGAAGACATGAAGACCATGAAGACCATGAAGACATGAAGACATGAAAACCATGAAGACATGAAGACATGAAGACATGAAAACCATGAAGACATGAAAACCATGAAGACATGAAGACCATGAAGACATGAAAACCATGAAGACATGAAGACCATGAAGACATGAAGACCATAAAGACATGAGGACATGAAAACCATGAAGACATGAAGACATGAAAACCATGAAGACATGAAGACCATGAAGACATGAAAACCATGAAGACATGAAGACATGAAGACATGAAAACCATGAAGACATGAAGACCATGAAGACATGAAAACCATGAAGACATGAAGACCATGAAGACATGAAGACATGAAAACCATGAAGACCATGAAGACATGAAGACATGAAAACCATGAAGACATGAAGACCATGAAGACATGAAAACCATGAAGACATGAAGACATGAAAACCATGAAGACATGAAGACCATAAAGACATGAGGACATGAAAACCATGAAGACCATGAAGACATGAAGACATGAAAACCATAAAGACATGAAGACCATGAAGACCATGAAGACCATGACGACCATGAAGACATGAAGACATGAAGACCATCACCACAGGGTTCGTTGGAGCTTCTGACCACACTTTCCTCTGGAGGTGTCCCAGACTCTCTGACAAACACGGTTTAGGAAAACCTCAGGAGGGACTCTGGAGTTTGTTTCAGGGGTAAGGGTCTGACTGTTATACAGAGACCACAGTGCTGTCCACTGCAGTCCCTAATGTGACCCAGGTCGGCCCCCCACCATAGTTCCCTTCAGCTGTCCTCAATTATAAAGGAAAACGCCCAAATAAGGGGCGTCCAAATAATTCATTAGAGAGGATGTGAAGTTGTGAACATGTTTCCATCAGACCAGAGGAGGTAGAGCGAGCAGCTGTAACTGTGGAGGACTGGAGAGGACAGGACCCAGCACGCTTCAGGAGGAACTGCAGAGGAACATGCACCACCTCAGAGTCTAACCATCATCTAAACACCATCATCTAACCATGAGAGGACTCAGTGCGCTGTGAGGTTCAGGATCATGTCAGCTCCACGTCAGGTTCACTCAGAGAGGAGTCAGACAAAAGCTGATTCAGGACTTTAACACCAAAGACTCTGAACAAGAAACGCTGAAATATCAGAGAGATTCACAGATCAGACGGATTCTTCTCCTGCAGTGTCAAACTCCTCTGAGGGGGGGGGGGGTTACCTTCATATCAGGCCGGAGGGAAACAAACACGCTCACCTGATGACAAACACACACACACCTGTCCTCTGACAGTTAATGTTTGACAGGTCTGTACAGAGCTGAGATAAAGTCCAACAGGATTCCTTCACATTAATCTTTAACTCTTCTCAGAGTTTCTCATAAACCTCCTGTGTGCAAAGGTGAGAGAAAAATATGAAGATGATGAGGAGGAGATGACCCAGCTCTGGTTAAAGGCGAGGACTTTCCTCTGAGTGTTTGACACCCGTTTCTAAACCACGGCAGTAAAAGATGAACTCCTGAGGAACCAAAACAGAGACCTGCTCACAGATCCACATCATAAGAACCACCAAAGTTCCTCATCAGGAGCTGTGAGGCTCTGCGGACTCCTGCAGAAGGTCTGCTCGTCACCGTCTACTCTCTTGTCGGGGTCAGTCAGCGTTTTGGAGCCGCCTGTCAGACAGCAGGTCAAACTCAGCTGGAAACATAAAGACCAGCTGATATCAGCGTGTCTCTCCTCCTCCTCCTCCTCCTCCTCCTCCTCCTCCTCCTCCTCCTCCTCCTCCTCCTCCTCCTCTGTCTGATTACAACAAAAGGGTGAAGTTCACGTCTTCAGGTGCTAAAGAGCCGAGCAGGACTGTGAGAGACAGCTGACTTAGATTTACACCTCCTCCTCCTCCTCCTCCTCCTCATCCTCACAACAGCCCGGTGACTTTATTTCTGTTCAGAGCCGGTTTTTATGATGACACCGTACAGTACAGAACTTTAACCTGCAATATTGTATAGATGTCTTGTATAGACTAGATGTCACCCATCACCCGTCCTCTCTAGGTTTCTATTTCCTGATAGTCTATGATCTGATGAACCTGCTGCAGTCAGGAGCAGTCGTCCTCTCTGCTTTAGTCAACAACATGATGATGTTTTTCACAATATTACATTCAGTTAGGATTCACGTCACTAACACGGGTCCAGGAGGACAACAACCCCCTCCCTGTCGTTGAGCGGACATGTAATAAAGATAAAGACGCAGCACTAACCTCGTTTTCTCTCTCTGACTCGTTTAGAGTTCAACGGTTATGGAAAAAAGGAGCAGAAATACCTTTAAAGACGGATCTGTTTACAGGAGCAGAAACTAACCTTCAGGAGCAGCTCAGCATCATCGTTCAGCAGGGAGAGACGCCAGAGATGAGATCATGACTCCTCCTCCAGCTATGGCGCTACCAGCCAGCACAGCGCATCAGAAAACTGCTGAGCTAATCCAAAGTGACGCGCCTCAAAAACCGACGAGAAACCGCTCCCTCCGAGACGAGGGGCGAGCAACAAAACACGCCGAGGGAGGAGAGAGAGAGAGAGAGAGAGAGAGAGAGACGGGGCGGCTGATGACCTTCCCTCTGCTCCTCTGTCAGAACATCAGCACACAGAGAGAGAGAGAGAGAGAGAGAGAGAGAGACAGCCCCACCCACAGCCTCAGAGAGGGGGAGAGAGAGAGAGAGGGGAGAGGAGAGGAGCAGGTCGGGTGGGGGAGGGAGAAATCCTCATGGAGACTCAGCTCTCATCAGACACAAAGGATCAGGTCTAAGGATCAGGTCTGAGGATCAGGTCTAAGGATCAGGTCTGAGGATCAGGTCTGAGGAGACACAGTGGAGGAGCTCAGTGACACTGTTTATAATCTGAGTAGAAAATCTGGACTCAGATTATCAGATTATGACACTGATTCAAACACTTAATCCCACCTCAGCACAACAATCCAACACAGCTGATCAGCAGGACTCAGGAGGAGAAAAGGCTCCATCCAACAAGTCGAACCCTCAATCTTCATCCTCTCCTCTAGAGGACCAACACAGACCCGGGTCAGCGAAGACCGACCTCCACATTTCAGAGATCATGTAGGTCCGGTTCTGCTGTCAGCAGGAGTCAAACTCATCTGGACCTGCTGACATTAGATCATCTGAGACCCAGCAGGTCCACAATGTTGTAAGAGGAGGATCATGGAGGTCTGCAGCAGACCATCAAACGTTCACCAGAACTGTACTGAGAAGACCACAGCGAAGACGATTCACGCCAAGGAGCGTGACGAAGGTTTAGGACGACAGTCAGGGAGGAGGAATCAGATCCTGTCGATCAATAATCTGAGGATAAATCAATATGAGAGCTCCTCTCCAAACCCTGAAGGGACCATCTGTGGTCACCTGAGCGATGAGGAGCGAGAGAGAGGGAGATGTCTCCCTGTGTGATCAGATCTGAGGAGTTTCACCTCTTCGTCTGGTTCAGCTCTAAAAATCCAGTCTATGTTTGTTGATAATAAAAATGACTGAAAATGTTAAAATGTTTTTTTTTTTATTTCTCTCGTTTATCTTTTTTAATTAAAAAGAATTTTTTATGTTTTTTTTCATAAATGAGGAAAAAAAGGAAAATCCTGATCAGACTGTGAAGATCTTGAATGTCTCATGGATGAAAGCAGGTTCATAATTCATCTGAATATATTCTCTATCATTAATTTATCATTGTCCTCACTGGAAATTATGGGATTAGGATTGAGAACCAATAAAAACAGGAATCAGGTCAGTAAAACTGAACCAGAACCTGAACCCGTGTTCTTGATACTTGAAGGAAGTCTGATCAGAGTCCAGGTTTAAAGCAGAGCCAGGACTTGGGTCTCTCTCATGCTCAGGTCAGATTACAGATTACAGATTAGTCTATCTACTAACTACAAACACAGTCACCTGAAAACCATCACAGAGCAGAAACCTGGATTTGAAACCCGGTCTCCTGTGTAGGTCTGACCGGGTTTTACAGATCTGATAAATGACTCCAAAGGTCAGCCAATCACAGCCGATCAGGAGGCGCCGACACAAACGCCCGGAGGAGAGAGGCGAGTGTTATAAAAGGCCGCTCTGTGACGTTTAAAGGAGCCGCTCTGTGAACTCTGTGTCCACTCTGTTCCTCCCCTCAGAGCGGTCCAAACCTGGGCCGTCTCACAGAGATCCAGTCTTCTTTAATCCACGTCTTCAGAGGCCCCACAGCACCACCCCTCATCACTCCTCCTCCTCCTCCTCACCATCACTCCAGTCTGTAAACTCAGCTGAGTAACCCCAACACTCTCTGAACATGAGCAGGTCTGACTCAACACTCATAGGCTGAATCAAATCTGTGAACTCGACTGTTTTCAAGTCCAAACTGAGAAGATTTCTACAGACGATGATCACAGAAGATAAACACTGAAAAAGGTTCGAGTGAACAGTCCTTACAGACACACACACACAGATACACACACGTACAGGCTTTGGAGACAGGCTGTCGTCACAGAGAGGGTGAGAGGGTGAGGGTGTGAGAGGGTTAGAGGGTGAGAGGGTTAGAGGGTGTGGTTCTGGCTGTTTTTTCTATTAGAAAACATGACGACAGGAAATGGAAAAACTGTCCTAACTCTGGTCCGTCTCCACAGAGAAGCATTTCCTCTGGACCTGATGGACAAACACAGAAGACCTCATCCTCCTCTGTTTCCTGCACAAACAACAATTCAACATCACTGTAACCAGAACAACACAAAGAGGAGTCAGACAGAGTACAGGGCGGGGCAGGGAGGGGAGACGACGCCGTCTGAATCCTCCAACACCGAGACCGGCTGCTGCAGGTCTGACCGTCTACAAGGAGGAGGAGTCTGAAAGTTTATATACTGAAGAAAAGGAGAACAGGTACGGATCTGTCACACCTGAGGAGGACTGAGGAGGGGGACGGACGGGGACGAGAACCGACACTGCTGCAAATTTAAAAGAATGCAAATAGAAAAAGACGTCACAGTGGAAGTTAACGACACAAAAAAAAGTGACATGGAAAACAAGGACTCAGGCGCTACACGGTCTAACCACGTTAAAAAGTTTACAAAGTGAAATTAAACAATTAAACAAAAATCCTCAGCAGCTCACTTCTGTTGTGACTTTTTATATTTGCATCCTTTTATTTTCACAGTAACAAACTTTTTTTTCCTCAGTAACTTCAGTTGTGACTTGTTTTTTTTATTTGCAGCAGTGGCGGTTGTGGGCCTCCGTAGTGTGGGACTGAAGTGGTCTGTGGAGGATGTGACAGCTGTGTTTGGACCACACTTGTCCTCTGTAGACCATCTGAAGAGTCCTTCAGTGTTGGATCTCTGATTCTTCAGGACCTGATCCAACAGCTCGGACAAACACACTCCTTTATGAAGACTCTACACTCTCAGGTGTGGTTACCACAGTAACACAGGTGATAAGTGTTGCCATAGTAACACGATAATTGAGGTCATAGTGTTTGATAATGAAAGTCTGAGTATAGAGGGTTTCTTTTAAACTGTCAGATTATCACAGATTACAGTTAAAGGTCGATATACAGAATATTATATAAAGTAATAATAATCTACTGTTATATAAAAGAAACAGGACTGTATTAGTGAATATATTAATAACCTGATTAACCTGTTTAATGATCTGAGCAGGTAACACAGAGATGACACACACACACACACACACACACACACACACACACACACACACATACTGACCACACACACACGTACACAAACACAGATACACACACCTACACTGACACACAATCACACACAATCACTCTCTCTCTCACACACAGACACAAAAACACACACACTCTCACACACACATACACACACACACAAAGCTAACGCTAGTCTAAACTAACCCGCTGTAAGCTAAGCTAACTGCTAGCCTCCCTGCTCGGTTCATACTCAGACTCGTTTTTAAATCACAAAGAAAATAATTTACTTTAATCTAAACGGACCCTGTTGTCTCTAATCTACACAGTGACAGGACAGACTAAGAACCAAATGTTCAACAGATGAGAAAACAGAAATAAAAGCAGGTTTTCTTACCGAGAGCTGAAACTGACGGCTAACTCAGCCCCTTTAAATCCAAAATGGCTGCGGCGGCTCCGCCACAGTCTCCCACAATCCCCCGCGGCTGAGGTCATCCAAACTGACGTCATGGTTTGTTTTGTTTGTTTTTCTTCTGAAATAAGTTTTAATTTTTAAGAAAACAATAAAACGTTTTAACCACTTTTACCTTCTCTTACCTCTCTCTTACATTCATGAGTGAAAATGTTTAATTTCTTCTGTCTCAGTTAAAGACTTTAAAACGTAGATTTCTCATCTATCACAAAGTTTTTACAATTTTTATTTGATTAAAAGGTCCTTTAAAGACCTAAAATAAACCAGTTTGGTATCGTGAAGAAAATCTTTATAACTCTTAGACAGCAGCTTCACACACTGTAGATATGAGGATAATTATACCTGACCTTACTGCTTATGAAGGAGGTATACAAAATATTTAATTTTGTAATTTTGGTTTATTTAATCCAGAGACAAACTCCTCAACGGGAGCTTTAAATGAATTTAGTTTGAATCACTTAAATCTTTATTTATGAGCTGAAGAGAAAACATGAAACCTGTTAATTATGTTTGATAAAACACTCATTATCTGTTATTTTAGTGTGTTTGATTCAACAGCATAAGATAAATTCAAAACAAAGCAATTTCAATAATTCCTGTTAGTTTCTAAAATGAAGTCATGAAATAAAAACAGAAACCTGAGGGCTGTTAACAGAGACTGTCGTTTTCTTTCAGTTATTGTTGTTTTACTTTTTTATTTTAAATAAATTTGTATTTTTACTTTCAAGAGTCTTTTTGAACTCTGCTGTTTAACACCAAATTACCCTCTTACAAACACACACCCCTTCACAATAAAAGCCCTTGAATTCCACCACAGCAGGTAAAGGTCTATAGTGACACCTGGTGGTTGGGTTCAGCACTGACAGGTGAGGCTGGAGTTTCAGTGACTTTTTTTCTGAAGGATTTAAAGTCTCTGTCTCTCTTTTTAGGTTTTTGCTCATCTTTGACCGGAGGTCTCCAGGACTCTTGTTCTGGATCTTTCTTTAACATTTCCTTTCTTTTCTTTTCGTTTCTTTTCTTTTTTTGTTAAGACTCAGCTGACTTTGGTTTTTCCACACGAATTGACCTCAATAACATCAAACTGTTTCTTATTTTCCACAAAGCCTCCATGTTGCTCCTTAAATGAAGAGTATTGTACTCTTTAAGGCAGCGTTACACAGCTGTACAGTTTATGGAGAATCTCTGCACGACAGCTGTGTTTTGGATTTTGATTTTAATATTAACTTTGGTTCAAGCAAAAAAACAAAATAAAAGAAAACAACAAAAAATACTTTTAAACAGATTTTTAAGTAACTGGATAGAAGCCCGTCATAAAAGTAAAGTTATTCAGATTAATGAGAAAACAGTTAAAAAATGTGTTTTAGCTGAAAAATAAAAGAGCTTTAAAAACAAACCATGAGGGAGTCCTCTGTTTTCTGTGCGGCGCCATTTTTTAAGTAATAAGGGTTATAAATTTAAATATAATAAATATAAATATGATAAAATATTTATGTTTATAAATATAAATACAGGATATAATGTCATGTTTTTTATGATTGACACTTTATACAGCCTATGGGCGTACAAAGATGGCGTTGGACTTTGCTTATTTGTACTATAATCGTCCATCACTGGTCTATTTGTTTGTAAAACGTGACAAAGGAAATTAAATCAGTACATTTATATTAAAATATAGATAACAGATATTTGACTTGATGCAGAAAAGAACATTTTAGCTGTAAAAGACGAACAAAAACCCTGACAAAGGTAAAGCCTGACATGTACAAAATAATCCAGTCCAACACAGACGTGATGCAGAGAAATAAATCTCCATCACACACAGAGTCTGAACTCTCATGGGTTGTAAGTTATTGAATAAACAGACAGAGTATGAAAAGTAAAGAGAGTCTGAAATGTTCTGGTGTGAATTTTTAATGTCATTTTCATCAGTTCATCCTGTGTGTCGGCAGAGATCCATTCATGGCTCAGTCCAGGATCACGTCAGCTCCCCTTCAGTAATCCGACCCTGAGGTTTGTGGGCCTGAAACATTGATGAGCTGGAGTCCAGAAGCTCAGAACACACTGAGCTGCTGGATCAGGTGTGAGCAGGACCATGGGGACTGTGGAGGAATCTCTGAAGTGTCCCGTCTGCCAGGACGTCTTCACAGATCCTGTGACTCTGCCGTGTGGACATGACTTTTGTCTCACCTGCATCCAGACCGTGTGGGAGACAGATGGACCTAATGAGGGTCCTCTCTTCTGTCCCGAGTGTCAGATCTTCCTCCCCCCTGACCTGGTCCTGCAGGAAAACTCCAGCCTTCAGACCAGAGTGAAGGACTTCACTGCAAAGACATCAACTCAGAGCCAAGCTGCAGAGACCCCTCCCCCCATCCTCTGTGATCACTGCATAGAGACGCCGTCTGTGGCCGTCCGGACCTGTCTCACCTGTGACGCCTCTCTCTGCCGGGCCCACGCCCTGCAGCACCAGCAGAGGTCGGCTCTGAGGGAGCACACGGTGGTGGAGGTGATGGAGGATCCTCTGTCTCTGAAGTGCAGGGAGCATCGAGATGAGCTCAAACTCTTCTGCACCGAGGACAGAGTCCCTGTCTGCTGTCTGTGTGTCCTGGTCGGCGTTCACAAGAACCACCGAGCGCTGCAGCTGCATGAGGCCTGTGCAGACTTCAAGGTGGATCACAGCAGTTTGGGAGCATGCATGTCTGATTTTCTTTTTTATTGATTTCACGGATCAATATTCCATCAACATTTTACTATAATCTATAATACACAACGTCTTTACTGCGCAAAGTCTGAGACATAAAATCAACCCAGTATTTCCAGGAGTTTTTAAAAGTTTCTGTTTTAAGTCCAGATGAGAAAGTCAGCTTCTCCTGATTCTATATTTATCGATCATTATCTCTAATCCTCCATTTTTGGTTCATCTGTTTTTAGACTGATGGCCTTTTTAGTCCCACCAACACGATCGTAAATCTGTGTTTTTCTCCTGATTCTCTTTTCCAAAATATAAAACTTCATAAGTGGAAGTTTCATTTCTAAATGTTTTCCATCTTCTTCTTTATCTCCTGTCAGTCAGGTTTAATACCAGAGCATCCTCAAAAACATGAAAATGATCAGCCTTATTATTCTCCCCACATCATCTCTGACATGCTGTGTCTCCAGATTCCTCCTGTTTTGGTGAAACATCATGTGTTGTTTTCTGTGTTTAGAGCGTGTTAGAGAGCAACATGAACCAGCTGCTGGAGAGGAGAGGTGAAGCTGAACACGCCATCAAAGACCTGGAGTCTCTCTACACAGAAACTGTGGTACTGACCTTCACCCTGAAACATCTCACTGTTTCAGTCTTCACTGTCATGAACCTTCATTTGTTCTGATGTCACAGAAGTATGCTGCAGACTTCAGAGAGAGAGTCTCAGACAAATACAGCAGGATCCGTGTGGTTCTGGACGGAGACGAGCGTCTGATGATGCAGATCATAGACGCGGAGGAGACCTACATGCTGGAGTGGTTGGAGGCCCAGAGAGGACAGATGGAGGCTCAGATTAAGGAGATCGATCATCTCAGAGCCTCCAGCAAATCACTCCTCCAGGAAACGAACCATCTCAGATTCCTGCAGGTTAAAACGAGTGTTTTTTCATTTCCATATAAATCAATTTGAGTTAGTTTGATTTGGTATGAAACAAAAATGACTTTACAACATGGTTTGATGGACGTGCAGCAGAGAGGAGGAGGAGGAGGAGGAGGAGGAGGAGGAGGGCTTCGGTGTTTCACTTCAGAGAAACTGTCTCCTTCTTCAAATATTCATCACCTGTTTGTTTTCTTCTTACAGCAGATCACGGCTCAGGACCTCTGGTGAGTAAACTCTCTACTCCGTGTTTTTAACTCGACTTTAAAACAACCACAGCTGAACAAAGTGCTGTATATAAAAAACAATCAAAAAACAAGTAAAACAACAAATAAAATAAAAGCAGAATTAAAAAGTAAAATACAGTTTCAATGTTTTTAAAAACTAATTTAAAAACAGAAACTAAAAACTAAAAACAAACATAAAACACTGAAACAGGAGCCGAGTCTCATGAATAAAAATGGTTTTGAAGGTGAGGGTGTAGGGGTGGAGAAGCTCAGAAGATGGAGTCAGACCGTTTAAAGATTTAAAAACTAAAGAATCTGAAAATGAAGAATCTTAAAATGAACAGGTGACCGGTGGAGGGAGGCCAGGATGGAGGAACGTGCTCCTCTGACGGAGTTCAGAGCCGGGCGGAGAGGGAGGACCGTCTGACTCCAGAGTAAAGTTACAGTAATCCAGTAAACTGAGACGTGGATTACTGTTTCAGAGAGATTATAAGGAAAGACTTTACCTCAGTCAGCTGACTAATGTGATAAAAACTGGATTTAAATACTGAGCTGAATTTAAAATCACTGTCCATCTTCAAACCCAAATCTGAGACGGTCGTCTTTAAATAGTCTGTTAAAATACCCGAGTCTACAGGAGGGGATTCAGAGGGACCGCTGGGACCAAAGACCATCACTTCAGTTTTTCTCTGAGGCTTTAATGTCTTCAAGACAGGAAGTGGAGTGAGGGAGAAAGCATTTTTCTGATTTAGTGGCACATATATCTGACTGTCGTCAGCGTAACAATGAACAGAGCTGCTGTGATTTCTTAGGATGGAGCCCAGGAGGGGCAGCAAGTACAAAGAAAAGAGCAGGGGCCCTAAAACTGACCCCTGTGGAACCCCATACAGCAGAGGAGCAGAGCTGGACTCTGAATCTCCAAGACTCACACTCATAAAGTTGTAGTTTTGATCGCAGTGATCCTCTGGAGTTAACGCCGATCCAGGAAGTAGACCGATCCCTGTGTGACCCTGAGAAGATGAGAACCGTGGAGAAGCTGGTGGACGACCTCTCCGTGGCGCTGTCCCAACACTTTCCACGGACGTGGTCATGTGAGTGAAGAGTCCGACAGTTCTCATGTTCTCACCGACTCCTCATGTCTTCACTGATCAGGGCTGTGTGTGTGTGTGTGTGTGTGTGTGTGATGGTTCTTCTCAGACCTCAGCTGCCCCTCTCTGGACTGCAGCACCGCTCATCCCAGACTGGAGATCTCCTCGGACAGGAAGCAGGTGTTCTGGAGGACGCAGCCTGGAGCTGAAGCTGGGAGCTCTGGGCCGTATGACTCCCAGTACAGCGTGTTGGCTCAGGACAGCTTCAGCTCGGGTCAGCATTACTGGGAGGTCATCGTTCAGGAGAAACCCTATTGGCTGATCGGAGTGACCTCAGGACCATCTCACCGTGAAGAAGACTCCGACCTGAGCTCGACCCGCCTGAATCTGAACGACACGTCCTGGTGCATCTACCACGGAGACGGACAGTACCTGGCGTGTCACGACACCCAGGAGGAGCAGCTGTCTGTGGGGAGGAGGGTCAGGAAGCTGGGTATCTTCGCTGACCTCCAGAAGGGGGCGCTGCAGTTCTATGATGCTGATCGTTTGAGTCTGCTCCACTCTTTCTGTGTGCGGAGTTCGGACCCGGTCTTCCCCATGTTGAACCCGTGCATCGATGTGAAGGGACTCAACAGGCAGCCGCTCACCTTATTCTGCATCCAAGACCCTTAAGAACCAGGAGACCCCCGGCTCTGCAGAAGAGACAGAAACCAACCCTCTGACGGGTCCGGGTACGGGGACAGGTGCGGGGACAAGTGGACATTTGGTTCAATTTGAACTGAATATTCAGTTTTAAAGGTGGAGTAGACAGGAATCTGTTAAAGAAGCATCTTTTTATTTTAGTGTATTTACAAAAATCTTCTAATATCAGTCAATAGTTATTAGTTATTGATTATTTGGTAATATATCGATATCTCTGTGTTCTCTTATGTCTGTGTCGTCAACATTTGAACATTTTTGAGCGGTCCGCTCTTTCTGACAGTAAACAAAGCCGTTCTCCACCTCCTCTAACCTGATTGGTTGTGAGGCAGACGCTGCTCCCCCGTGTCGTTCAGGAGCCCAAACAAAGTTAGCGTGCTACGATACTGGACTCACCTGCTCCATTAAAGATATTTCACTTTGTCTGAATTCAGGGTCACAGTTTCGGGTCAACAAATCTGGACTTCCTGATAAACGCAGAAGACGCTGATCTATCCCTGAAGACTGAACTTTTCTGACTTCTCTAAATTTGGACGTTAATCAGAGTGACCAGATTTCTCATGTTTGTTAATTATGAGCCTAAATCATCATATCCCAACAAAAAAGCAGAAACTATTTTTCTTTAAATGCGGTGAAAGTTCAACACGGGTTCGAATGAAACTAAAGTGACAGTGTAATCAGCTGGACCTGTTTAATACTGCAGAAGTTCTCAGTCAGTTTTCAAATCAGACGCTCATTAAAATCACTGACTGTATCTTTAGAGGAGAACCAGGATTCAGACAGACAGGTCAACCCTCCATCTACCTAAAGACCTGTTTCTGTGGAGCTGCTCCTACAGGTGAGCAGGTATCTGTGAACACCTGCTCTGTCCTCTTCTGTTCAGTTACTATCAGAGTCACTGGTCTGCATTTTGCTGTAGTACTGTTTTTGAACACTGGGGGGCAGTGTGCTCCCAAAAGTCAAAGTCCACTGAGACAAAAACACAGATACTGTTATCAGATATCTGAGCATCAGTGAGTTTGGACAGTCCTCCCATCACCTGAGGACAGTAAAGGTCCCACACAGGAGGACAAGCACCAGTGGATCCTGTCCCCTGGTTGGAAGTCCAGCTCTTCATGATGATCCAGATCATCTGAGCTCTTCATAGGAAGTTTGTGGTCCTGCAGTGTGAAGATCAGAGCTTCTGTTTATTCAGTCATGGAGTAAAAAACACATTTATGTTAAATATCAGTGTAATTATTAAATATTATTATTAGATATCAGTGTAATTATTAAATCTTATTATTAAATATCAGTATAATTATTAAATATTGTTATTAAATATCAGTGTAATTATTAAATATTATTATTAAATATCAGTATAATTATTAAACATTGTTATTAAATATCAGTATAATTATTAAATATTATTATTAGATATCAGTATAATTATTAAATATTATTATTAAATATCAGTATAATTATTAAATATTATTATTAAACATCAGTATAATTATTAAATATTGTTATTAAATATCAGTATAATTATTAAATATTGTTATTAACTATCAGTATAATTATTAAATATTGTTATTAAATATCAGTATAATTATTAAATATTGTTATTAACTATCAGTATAATTATTAAATATTGTTATTAAATATCAGTGTAATTATTAAATATTATTATTAAATATCAGTATAATTATTAAATATTATTATTAAATATCAGTGTAATTATTAAATATTATTATTAAATATCAGTATAATTATTGAATATTATTATTAAATATCAGTATAATTATTAAATATTATTAAATATCAGTATAATTATTAAATATTGTTATTAAATATCAGTGTAATTATTAAATATTATTATTAGATATCAGTATAATTATTAAATATTATCATTAGATATCAGTATTTTGTCTGAGGTCTGAACTCCCTGAAGAAGAGTTTCCTTCAGAAAATCAGATCATCTGATATTTGACTGTTTTCGGTTCGTATCTGCGACACGTTTGTTTCTCTATCTGCAAAAATAAAGTGTGTTTTGACAGACGTCCTCGTCTCACACTGATAAGGTCCATGTGTGGACGCTGCTTCTGTGACAGTCTGGGAGGATGAACCCTGTTAGTCAGGGGGGGTCAGAGGTTTCACAGCAAAGAGGTGTCAAGGAGGACATCCTGGTCCAACTGGAGAAACCGTCCTGGAACTCCTGATCCCCCACTTACAATTGAAAAGACGCTTTCATGCTGGATCACAGAGTCCGGCACTAGAGAAACCCAGGAGAGACTCCTCCAGGTCTACCAGGTCAGGTGACCCCCCGGCCCTTTACCAGCTGGACGACCAACAGAGACTCTAAACCTCCAACTTTGTCCCCAGTCACTTTGGAACTGAAGACACCTTTTGAAGGAGAGGAGGAACGTCCTCAAGAACCTCAAACAGTCCAGCTGAACTGGATCATCATGACCCGGACCAACCAGAACCTTCACAGACACGGCAAAGACAGAAGTACTTGAATTTAGAGCTTCAAACTACACTGGAGAGTTGGGCTGTGGTGAGTTTACTGCAGGAGGTCCATAAATCCTCCAAACCTGGGTTTTTTCGGTGATGTATTCCTCTGACGTCAGACCGCTGATGGTGTGAATCACATGAACTCTGTACAGGAAGTGTGTGTTTTTTATTCCTGCGCCAGTTTACAGAAGCTGTCACACACGTTACCCAACCCTCCTCAACAAGTCAGGTCACGTCGGATTTCCTCGAGTCTTTAGTCACAGGTGCAGTCAGCACCTGAGTAATGAGAACGAGGACGTAAACGGGCTCCAGGTGTTTTCATTTCATCACACTCACTGATCCCAACATTTCTGTCCAGGGGAGAAAAATGGAGGCAGTTCAAGAGTTTCAGTACGCAGGTTTCATTTTGTAGGATTGTGAAGAGAGTGAAGTTTAACCTCTTCAACTTTAGGTTTGGTAGAAAGAGCTTCAGCCCAGAGTCAGACAGGTTGTACTTTGATTAAACCACATGTCTGACTGTCTGATCAGCTGGGCGATTGAAAGGGTCAGTCAACCGTCTTTAAAGGTTTTGGATAATCGTACCACCACTGCAACACGATAAAACACACTGAGGCTGTACTTGTCTGTAAAATCTCACATGATCAAACTCCAGAACCACTTCAAGAGTTTGTCAAAAGAGACGCGAGCAGCTCAACGACAGCAGGCCTCAGAGGGGACTCTGGTGGAGCGTTTCTGGTCAAACGGCGGTCTCATTTCTCATTTCTTAGACCCAGAACGAAATACCAAAGTCAGTATGAGAACTCTCTACCCTGACTTCCTGTTCAGAGCATGGCTGTAGGAAAACCAGATCTGTGTCTCATTTTGGATGTTTGTCTGATGGGCTCCCTCCATTATTATCCACTGTCACAAATACGTCTTTGTACGCTTTTCCTTGTGCGATATCTCCTCACACATCTGCATGTGCAGCTGTGTTCTCCGTGCAGTATCATAGTCAACGTATTTTTAATTCATATTCCAAGTAAGGGTCATCAGAGAGTAAATCTTGTCATGGTTATAAAAGACATGAGGGTGTCTGGAGGGTGGCTCCGCCCCCCAGTTCACCTATATAGTTTATACAGTATATGATATAAACCTCCTACAGTTATGCCACAGTACAGACACTACAATAAGCAAAGACAACAAAGATCCAAATAAAGAACTTAAAAAACCCTAAATACGTCTAAAATCAGAATATCTGATATCAGGAAATAAAAAACAAACATGTTGTAACTCAAGAAAAAACAAGATAGACACGATCGGGAGGTCCTGTGGCGTCAGCAATAACTAGTGTATATTTTTATGAGCATTTTATAACATAACTGTGATTTTTTATTGGAGGTGTATTTTACAGGTTACTGTAGACACAGTAACAATCTAACAGGATATCCTCATATACAAAAGAATACATAAAATACATGAAAACAAGAAATCTGCTTTTTCTTTACTAGGACATAATTATGTCAGAGACTCTCAGTCTTTATCTGAACTCTGCTTACTGTTTATATACTTACTGTTTTACTATTTTGTGTTGTATATAGGGTACATACTTTTTTATTATCTCTTTATTTATTCTTCTCTTATTGTTTATCTCCTCTTTTACTGTTTATACTCTCATCACTTTTACTGTATTTGCACTGGAGTTACTGTAACGAAAGCATTTCCCCTCCTGAGGATTATTCAAGTATTTCTGATTCTGATTATTTTTTCTTATTTTATCTACTATGTATCTCCTATTTCTACTTTATTGACTCTGGAGTTACTGTAAAGAACAGTATTTCCCCCTGAGGATTATTAAAGTATTTCTGATTCTGAAGTCTTAACTAAACATTTGTTTTTATTTTTTAATTTTGCCTGTTTTTCTGTTTTTATTTTTGCCTGTTTTTTGTTTTTATTTTGACAATTTTTCTGTTTTAATTTTGCCTGTTTTTATGTTTATATATTGACTATTTTTTGTTTTTATTTTGACGGTTTTTCTATATTTTTTTTATTTTGCTTGTTTTTCTGTTTTTATTTGACTGTTTTTATCTTTTTATTTTGCCTGATCCCTTTTTTGCTTGTTTTTGTTTTTTGTGTGACTGTTTTTGTTTGTTTATTTTGACTTTCTGTGCTGCTTCTGCTGTAGCTGCTGTCCTCTGGATCAATAATGATTACCTGATTAATAAAATCCTGATCTATATTCCTCTCTAAAGCACAAACCTTCAGTGAGTTAGTTGTTCTGATCGAGCTTGTTTACAGTCTCTGGTTTTTGGCTCACAGTCCCACCCTCGCAGCGGACCCATGGCGCCCCCTGTCGGCAGAGACTCGCCCCGCCCCTCGGAGCAGCCTCCTCTCCGGTCAGCGGAGCTCCGGGACACCTCCGTCAGTCAGTCAGGAGGAGCAGCAGCGGGAACAGCATCGTCGTCCAGCGGCTCCTCCCGCGATCGTCCCACACCCAGCTAGTGCTGCTCCCCGGCGGTGGAGGTGATGATGGCGGCGGCGGTAGAGAGAGGAGGCGTCCGGGCCGCTTTCCTGAACCCGAGCAGCGGCGGTGGAGGAGGAGGAGGACCGGTACCGACGAGCCTCCCGACCGGAGCGTTAGCCGGGGCTGTGGTGCTGGGCTCCGGCAGCATGCCCGTCCCCATGAACCTCTTCGCGACCTGGGAGATAGACCGATCGTCCCCCAGCTGCGTGCCAAGGTAACCCCCCACCCCAGCAGCAGCATAATGTCTAAATGTTATTAGACAATAATAAAGAGAGACTAACACCGCCCTGCTGGGCTGAAACCGTAGAGACGAACTGACACACATTTCAAACACACAGGCTAACTAAGCTAGGTGGCTAATGCTAAAGATCCGAGCTAACGAACATCATCGGTTCCTCTCATGTTTGGGCTCATAAACAGTTAATTTTCTGTTAATTCGTGCAGATTAAACTCGAATTAGGACGTCTGAGGAGTGAAAAAGCGTCGTGTTTATTAATGAATGTAAAGTGTAAAAGTGTGAAATGGTGGAGTGAGGTTGGCTGTGACCGTTAACCAAAGTTAAAGCTTCACTCTCTCTCTCTCTCTGTCTTCGGCTCAGCTCGGCTCTCTCTCTTAATCTGATAAAACCTTCAACTAACTTTTATTTTATTGTCTGTTTGCTGTCCTGAGCTGTTTGTCTGTGAACTCACGGCTCTAATAGGAACAGATTAGTCTGTAAATACAGAGACATGGATGTTATTCAGACATCAACTCTGTTTATTGTCTCTCTTTTCATAGTTTTGACTCTTAATCCTCTAAAATTCATGCTGTTATTCACTCTGGAGATAATGATAGTTTTTTTGCATTTGTTGGTGTAATTAAATATGAAGTATTTTGATGTTTTAAACACTCTCTCATCATGTTTTTATCTGATCTGTCATTGTTTCCATCAGTGCACAATAATGATTGAAGTTAAAGTGATTTTCATTAATACCGTTAATGAAACTGCAGTTATATTTTCCTAAAGTAGAAGTAATAATGATATCAGACCTTCTCCTCACCTGGACAGGTGTATGGACTGCTGATAGTTGTCGAACCCATGACACTCCTGGTATTTAACGCCGTGCGTCGACGAATGATTATAACATGTTGGTGGCGTTGCCGCCCTGCTGTGATATGACAGTGTTGCACAAATTGCTCTTTGCGTTGTTAGTAACATCTCTGGTAAAGTGAAGCCAAGCTTTGGATCTCTCCATCATGAGGGCCGGCCGCTCCGGCGTGATGTAAAGTATCAACAAGGGAGTCGTTTGGGTTAATGATGTTGATGGATCAAACCATTTCTAATCGACTCTTATCAGTTATCAATACCCACCCCTATTCAGACCTGACCAAGAGAGAAAAACTCAGATTAACTTGATTCACTAAACCGCCTGAAAGTTGAACCCAGAGACCAGACAGCTGATCTAAAACCCCAAACAGATGAGGAGACTTGATTTTAGTCTCAGTGTCTGCAGACATGAGCCTCATTTATGGGCCCGTCTGTAACGCAGCAGCTCTGATCTTTAACGTGGCGTTACGGTCACCTCCACAGTGAGCATCAGTCAGTGTTAGTGCGCACGCTCGCTCATCCTGGGCCTGAATCCTCACGCTGTTATCAGATCCTCATACAGGACAGATTCACGTGCACGGTTTGAGATCTGAAACTCTTCAGCGGTTCAGCACTGACGCACAAACACAGAGACAGACACACACAGAGACAGAAACTAACACAAACACTCAGTATGTTGACGGAGCAGTTTGCATAATCAGAGAGTAAACTGTAGTGATTGCTGCTGTTATGTAAAGGGATGTTCTCCGTCCGTGGTCTGTATTGTCTGTATGTTGTTGGGCTGATTTGGCGGTGCAGCAGTCATATTCACTCAGGCTGTGTGCATTAGTATGCATGTGCAGGGAGCAGCTCTGCTCTGCTGCCACCTGACCAGAAGCCTCTCGGGAGCTGTGGGCACATTAATCAGCTTTGACCTAGATCTGCTCCACTCTATGGGAGAGAAGTGGGCTTGGGAGGGGAGGGTTTCCTCTGCCCGTGTGTGTGTGTGTGTGTGTGTGTGTGTGTGTGCCTGCTTCCTCTCCAGCCTGCATGAGTCTGCATGTGTCAATGAAATCAGAGCTTTATGGAAAACATTGATAATCTGGAGTCAGTGTCAGTGATGCTGATTGCTCACATTAGCCTGTTTGTGTCCTACCATCCCACCATCGTACAGACGTTTTTATTGTTGTCCTATTTCTGCAAACACGTCTCCATTTTTAGATTGAAGCTCTGGAAAGGTCAGCTGGATTTCCTGACCTTAATCTCTCATCGCTGCGCACCAAAACTATGAGATATGAAATGTTTGTCTGTGGCGTTTGTCTTTGTGGACCTGCTCATCTTCTCTGTGTGTTCCTCTCTGACATTAGTGGGCTAACATGCGTGAAGGTCTGAGGAGGAAAAGCAGCAAACATGTGGCGTCCACGCTCTCCTCCCTGTAGTGGACGGATGGACGGACAGACGGACGGCTGTATGAAAGATGGATTAGGATGAGGATGATGGATTATTGATAAGGCGTGGAGTGAATGTTTTGTTCAGAGGAGCTGTGTCTGACCGATCTGATCATCTCTGCGGTTTGATTGGACAGGCAGGGTTACAGCTAGGGCTGGGCGATAAAACGATAACGATATCTAAAATTAATTTCCCTCAATATCAATATGAAACATGATCAATATGCTTTTTAATAGCCGTCATTCTGACATGTTTCGGTGGACCATACGAAGAGCCAATGGTCGCTTTAAAACATCAATGAGGAAGTGCGGCCTGGTGGAAACTGCAGCTCGTCAGTGAAGTGACCCTGAGCAGACTGACGACCATATAATCAGACCAACTTCAGAAGACAGACTCTAGAACCAAGTATCAACCAACTGCTGCTCCACCCAACCATAGACCTTTAACAGGTGAAGCCGACAGCACTGTTGGTGAGAAACAAAGACCTCACAGATGCAGGAGATTATCGTGTTGGAAAAGACATGAGACCAAGAAACTCTGTTAGATTTTTATATCCTGATATTGATCGATATCAGCTGATAGGAAATAAATATATCCTGATAAAGTTTTTCACTGATCGCCCAACCCTAACTACAGAGTGTTACAGGGAGGGTTCCAGACTCTCTGTTCTGGGTCTCTCTCTCTCTCTCTCTCTCTCTCTCTCTCTCTCTCTCTCTCTCTCTCTCCTCTCATGTGGCCCCGCCCACCCTCAGCCTGTTTTGGGGGATTGTGTTCTGGCATGCTGTCAGGGGCGGGGCCTTTTTGTCTGCAGCTGTTTGCTCCTCCACTGGACTTTAGGAGGAGTGGGAGTCCAGATGAGGGTCTGAGTCTCATATGAGGGTGAAGGACTCTTCAACAACAACAACAAAAACTCTTTTTATTGTGGGACCAGGTCCACACAGCTGGTCCTCATCAACCAGAGACCGTCTGTTAGAAATGATCCTGTTTCTGAGGAGGGTCCTCAGTCCTCAGGCTCTCCAAAACCCTCAGAGACCGGGCTTTGTGGTCTCTAACTGACCGGACTGTGGTCAGGGAAAGACCACTTCTCAGCTCTGGGTGGTTGGTCCTGGTCTGCAGCAGCTTTAGTGAACTCGTCCTCTGTTGCCTGTTTATTTGTTCAGAGAAGGACTTTAGTCAAGTTCCACTAAAGGGGGATAAAGTTCTGGCTGGTGTGGTTCTGACATCATTGTTGTGAAGTTTTAAGCCCCCCTCTTTAAAACTGAAGATGCAGCATCTATGATTTCCAGTTCTTCGTTAAGCGAAACGTCTCAACTAATTCCAGTTGTCCTTTCCCAAAAGAGTGTTAGATTCTGATGTATCAGACCTCAGGACAGTTCACCAACAAGTAATATTAAGACCATGCGGTGACTCCAACTACAGAGTCCTGATGCTCCTAACCCCCGACCTCCACCTTCATCCTGAACATCTACTTCCTTTCAGGAGGATCGTATTTCACACCATGCAAACGGGCGGAGACGAACAAGTGAAAGGTTTTTAGACGTCATTTCACCCCGATGACACCATGGATGAGGAGATGCTGATTCTAGAAGTCTAGAAGTAGATTTCCTCCTCTGGAAGGACACAATCTACTGCTTATATGTCTATGTGTCTGTCTTTAGAGAGACAACTCGTTATCGTGGGATTGAACGTGAATCTGCAGGTTCTTGTGAGTTCTCCCCTCCCCTCTCCTCGTGGTCACGCCCAAGTCTGTCAAAACCCTCTCTGTTTCCTGTCATGTCCTCCTGGAGGAGGAATTTCCTCGGCCCAGTAACCCACCCGAGCCCCCGTCTGTGATCCGGTTCTGATCAAAAACCTGCTCCTTTTTCAGGGGGGTGTTGGTTCTGTTGGAGTCCAGCAGACTCAGATCTGAACGTTGAATTCCTCCTAAAATCAGAGGAAGGTTTGTTCCCCCTGCCTGGACCTCAGAGCGAGGGAAAGGCCAGATTCCTGTGTGGGTGGATACGGTCCGGGGTCTCTGCTCACGAGCAGATCCAGCTTCCTGATCCAATGAGTGAGTCCGGCTCGCTGTCCTCTGACACGGGGAGGATCCGGTCCAAATAAGAGCTTCAGGGACAATGGCTGTTCCTCTATTTCCCACCTCTCCCATTCAGGCATTTCCTGAGCGCGTGCACACACACACACACACACACACACACACACACACACACACACACACACACACACACACACACACACACACACAGCTTCATTGGTTCTGTTGTTAAACAGTCATTTTGAAAATCATGGACTCACATCTGATCTCATTATCTGTGTGTCTTAATCAGAGTTCTCAAACTCCGATTATAGTCGGACTAAAGTGTTTACATGACCTTCAGTGGTCCGGTATTGATCGGAATAAGGCGATATTTTGGGTTTCTCGAGTGTCATGGAGGACGGAGACCCTGGACTGTGGAGGTCTCAGTTAATCCATGTTTGAGCTCCAGTCTTGATGTGGTCTTGGTCGTATGTTCAGACCTGCAGTTCTCAACAGTTCTCCTGTGCTGGTCTGGTTCTGGACCTTCTCTCTCCTCTGACCCGCTGGAGTAAAGACTGCACAGGTTTGGAGAAATGCTGCGTCTGCACAGAAACCCGAGCTCATTAGTCATGATGACAGACCAGGAGGAGTCCAGAAGACCTCTGGGTCTGCACACAGCAGCTGCAGTTCTGGTCCTGAAGGTGACTCTAAACACACCAGACCATCATCACGCTGACTTAGGCCTGAACGATATATCGTTTGACTATCGTCATCGCGATGTACGTGTGTGCGATAGTCCCATCGCAGAGCCTGCGATATTGGAGGTGAATGAACTCATTTAATTTCAAGGGTAACCGACTGAGATACACTCCATGTGACTCTGCATGTGCTGTGCAGCGATCCACCAATCACTTTCGTCCTTAACTCAGTTGCCAATCAGACTCACTTCTCAGTTGCCAATCAGACTACCCTGCCAGCTGTCAATCAAAATCAGATAGGAGGAAACCCACCCCTGCACATGTTCTGCACATGGAGGGAGACGTGTGTCCGCTGAGAATTACTTTCGGAACTTTACTCATGACTATTAAGCCCAACAGATAAGAACTGTATGGGTTTTAAATTGTACATTTCCGTGGACCACTCTACTATAAGCAGTGCGCGTTTTGCGAGGTGCATGCAATTCTCGGAGGACATGCGTTTCTCGGCACAACACCGCTAACAACAACAACAACGATCGCAAAATGAACAACGAACAAGCGAAAACCACCGAAAATGAAGATTTGTTGCCAAAAAGAAAAGGAAAGTCAGTTATCTTGAATTATTTCGGTTAAAAGAAGGATGATGTCGACCAAAACACGTCTTCTGTGTTCATCTGTTGCCACAATAACGTCCCAGCACAATAAAAGCTAAAAAATATCTCTGAGACAGACAGAAGCCGTTCTACTAACATTCACAAAAAGAGGTAAGATCAGAGCAGATTAACTGTCCTCAAGATTTCAGCAGTGCAGCATAACATTAAATGCTATTCAGGTCATCTGGTGAAAATTCCTGTATTTTTAATATCGCAATATATATCGCAGGGTTGAAAAAATCGCAATATTATTTTTTTCCAATATCGTGCAGCCTTACGCTGACTGACGCTCTCCATCGACCTTCACTCGTCTTTCATGGACCTTTGTCTGCAGAGAGGAGTTTAGTCTGGGACTGAAGCGGTCTCTCAGTGACCCCTCCTCATGCTGCAGGTTTTAGTCACTGTTGGTTCTTGAACTACACTGATCCTGACTGAGATACCCAACACTGCTCTACGGAGAAACACAGATCCTGTATGTTTTGGGCTTTAGTCCTCTTATTGGACATGATGAAGGCAGACCTGTGTCTGTCTGTCTGTCTGTCTCCGTGTCCCTCAGGTACTTACACCTGTGAAGGTGTTTGCATTCTCCTGGTCAGCAGGCGAGACATAGAGCCTGTTTTAAACAAGGCTTTGCTCCTGAGCTGTAAATCCTCCCTGCAGACTGAAGCCGGGCACCGCGGACGCCTTAACAGGATTTCAGAGCTCAGTCATAACCTTGTCAGAGTCTGCGGCGCTCTCAGGATTCACCTCATCAGTCAGACTCCTACTATAAACTCTTGATGAAGAGCCGGAAGACCTTCTGAGGAGAAGCTCATGAATAAACTTTCTATGGAGGAATCAGCTGCTGGTGTCTGACCACCGTAAACATCTCTGCTCCTCTGATAGGAGCTCCTGACCTCATCAGTTTGTGTTCATGACTGAAACAAAAGATCTGTTCGCTCTGCAAAAAAGCAACAAAGGACGACGGTCCTGAACCCGGAGGCTGACAACAACAGAGGGTGTGTGTGTGTGTGTGTGTGTGTGTGTGTGTGCGCGTGTGTGTGTGTGTGTGAATCAATGCTGCACATTACCAGGATAGTTTGCATGTGGATACTGTATGGATGCACAGATTACAGACACTCCAGAAGAGTCAGGACGCTGTTTTAGATAAAGTTAAAAAAAGAGTCGACTCGTTTAAATCAAGGTCACATGATCAAACCGTTTCATTAAAAAATCTCTGATCATCTTAAATTTCATGTTTTTAAAAAAGTTCTGTCAGGTTCTTGTTCCTCATCCTCAGCTCTGTAGACCTTAGTGAACCCAGCAGAGAACAGGGTTCTGGTCCCAGTCTGGCCTGAAAGAGGATTTCAGCTGCTCAACAGTTCAGGGTCTCCTTGGTCCTGGTTTTGGGGTTGTGATGGTCCAAATGTCAGGACCGCATCAGTCCAGTTCCTCAGCAGGACTCTTTCTTCTTTTCTCTTTTTTCTTATTTTCTGTGAATTTCGTTCCTCCATGAAGGTCGAACGGTTCCGGTCCGTTTCCTGGCTGTCAGCTCTGTAGAATCAGCAGAATCTTCTCTGTTGGCGTTGGTGAGAGACGCTCTGTCTCGCAGACTCTCAGCAGGTCCTCGTCTTATCACTCGTGTTTTTCATTAAAGACGACTTTGTCTGCTGGCGTGGCTCGGTGCCAGCGGACCTGCGAGCGCCGTTTCTCACCGTGTGTTTGGCTGCAGGATAAAATCTGAAGACAGGTTTATTCCTCTGGGGTTCTGGCTGTCATCTCCACCCCTGTCTGTCCTCAAACAGGCCCGTCTCTCTGCTCTGTATCTCTCAGTAGGACAAAACATGCAGCGCTGCCTCTATTTCCAGAGAGAAGGATTTTTCCAAACCGCCCACACACACACCGAGAACATCGCGGTCAGAGCTCTGATTCATGCTGTTCAACGTAAACCTTCTTCTTCTTCTCTCAGACGGGAGTTTGAGGTCCTTCTTCAGCTTCACTCAGCAGCTCTGTGGAGTTTTACAGTTTCTGATAATCCGGACAACTGTCAGCTCCTTCCTCCTCCTGACCTCAGACTTCTGTCCGAGTGTCATGGCAGACCCCGCTCTGGGAAATAACACGTTGATCTTTTCCCCAAACTCTTCCTTCCTTTTTATCACCCCCCTGATGACAACTATCCCTCCTCACCTGCACACCAACCGGAGCTGAGGTCTTCCTGGTCAAACCTCCACCTTTGAAGGTTCTATGCTGTATTTTCTGACTGAGTTCGATAGAAGGATTTTCGCTGATTCTCCAACATGCAAACAATAAAAAACAGACATAAATAAACATGTAATATATCAGCTGATTCCGTCTGTCAGCTGTGCTTGTTTACATCCAGTTAGTACAGCATGAAGGCAGTAGAAACCAACCAGAGCTGCAGCGCCCCTAATGAAGCTGCTGTGTGCGGTGAATAAGTGAGGACATGGTGACTCCTCAGATCTAGGAGGAGAAATGCAGGAGTATGGGGTACCGGACTCCGTCACGGCTGTCCTCTGTGTCACCGGGTCTGTTCAGAACTTTTACGGGCAGAGTTTCTTGGCACAGCCAGGATGTTGAAGGGGTCAGGTTCGGTGGCCTCAGGATTGGGTCACGATGTGGTCCTGTTGGCTTCATCGGGCCGCGGCCTTCAGCTCTCACTGGATCGGTTCGCAGCAGAGTGTGAAGCGGTGCGGATGAGAATCAGCACCTCCACGTGGAGGAGTTCAGGTATCGTGGAGTCTTGTTCGGGAGTGAGGGAAGAATGGAGCAGGAGATGGACAGGCGGGTCGGTGCCGTGTCAGCAGTGATGTGGACGCTGCACAGATCTGTGGTGGTGAAGGAGGAGCTGAGCAGAAAGACAAAGCTCCATAAATGAAGAAAGAGCAAACTTCCTGTCAGCATTAACGGACTTTTTAATCCCTTTAACTCTCTGATAACTCAGAACCAGAACCCTGAAAGGTTCAACGTATTCAGGCCTCTGGGTCCAAATCCTGTCCAGGACCAGGACAGTTTTTCTTCAGCGTGGATCAGAGATCATCTTTATAATTTAACCATCAGTGAAGTCTGTTTGTCATTAATATGTTTGTCTGACTGTGAGAGAGATCAGGAGAGCTGCTGCCTCTGCCCTGATCTGAAATCTCAGGATTCAGCTGATTTCTTGTCATGTGGAGGAACAGGTTGATCTCCGTAGAGACTGGAGGGTTCTGGACGAGTTCATGCATGTAAGCCCACGTGACTCTGGTCTCCTCTGATTGTAAAGCAGCTCTCAGGTTCTGACTGAAACGGGTCGAACTTTAGAAAACTGTAGAAAAGACCTTTAAGGATCCAGAACTCTGGCCTTTAGTGGTCCCTGTTTATGGTCTTCATGACACCATACCTGTGCAGTGACAGTACTGGGCTTTCTGTTCTGTTCTGTAAGGTTCTGTTCTGTTCAGTTCTGTTCTATCCGGTTCTGATCTGTATCTAAGGACATGTTTTAGATCTATCAACGCTGAGTCAGCTGTCAGGTCGACCTGGAGGATTTCTGCTGACTCACCAAAGTGACAGTTTCCTGTTTTGTCGGTTTTGTGTCATGGTCCAAAGGTTCCTGATGTGTGGGGGTCTGGTCTGGACTTTCTCCATAGATCCTGATCTCAGCTGGATTTGTTGTTCAGGCTGGACTCTGGAGCTCTTCATGGACAGAAACTACAGTCAGGAGGGTCCAGATCTCCTCAGACGGCACCAGTCCAGTTTGAGTCCTGCTGAAAGGGTTAAACCTCTGTTTGGTCTCTGTTTAACTCCATCACGACGTCTGCCCCCCCCCAGCTTAAGGCCTCATCCCCTCCCAAAATGTGGAGTATTGTCTTTAGATTTTTGAGCGGAGGACACCATCTGTTGTTCTGTGTGATGATGAGAAATGTCTCTGCTGCGGCAGATTAAAGGAGAGGTCAGTAATTTTGTCTTCATATCAGACCGACTCAGTTTGGACTCAGTGTCTGTCTGACCCTCAAGGACTCATCAGAACCTTAATGTAAAGGTGTCTGTCAGATCTGAAGAGCTGGGTTTTCAGCGTGTGATCGGGCTGAAGTCAACAGAGACGGAAACCAGAGAGACAAGAATCAGAGAGACAAGAATCAGAGAGACAGGAGTCAGAGAGACAAGAATCAGAGACAGAAACCAGAGAGACTGAAATTTAAAGAGACAGGAGTCAGAGAGACAGGAGTCAGAGAGACAGGAGTCAGAGAGACAGGAGTCAGAGAGACAGGAGTCAGAGAGACAGGAATCAGAGAGACAAGAATCAGAGAGACAAGAATCAGAGAGACAAGAATCAGAGAGACAGAAATCAGAGAGACAGGAATCAGAGAGACAGGAGTCAGAGAGACAGGAATCAGAGAGACAAGAATCAGAGAGACAGGAGTCAGAGAGACAGGAATCAGAGAGACAAGAATCAGAGAGACAGAAATCAGAGAGACAGAAATCAGAGAGACAAGAATCAGAGAGACAGGAATCAGAGAGACAGGAATCAGAGAGACAGGAATCAGAGAGACTGAAATTTAGAGAGACAGGAATCAGAGAGACAAGAATCAGAGAGACAGGAGTCAGAGAGACAGAAACCAGAGAGACAAGAATCAGAGACAGAAACCAGAGAGACTGAAATTTAGAGAGACAAGAATCAGAGAGACAGGAGTCAGAGAGACAAGAATCAGAGAGACAGGAGTCAGAGACAAGAATCAGAGAGACAGGAGTCAGAGACAAGAATCAGAGAGACAGGAGTCAGAGAGACAAGAATCAGAGAGACAGGAGTCAGGGTCAGAACCCCCACCTGCCCCGCAGTCCTTATTCAGGACATTAAAGTCCAAACAGCGTTGGTCCATCTGCCACATAAACCTGATCTTTGGGTCTAAAGTGGCTCAGAGCAGACCACCTGAGTTCACCTGTTCAGTCCGATGTCTCTGAGTTATCGTGTCCTCACCGTCCTCACCGTCCTCACCGTCTTCACCGTCCTCACCGTCCTCACCGTCTTCATTGTCTTCACTGTCCTGAAGGCTGAATTCATTTATGACCGTTTGTTAAAGCTCTTTGTAAACCTCTGTTTTTAAAAGTGCTCTCAAAATAAAGTTATGATTATTATTATTATTGTTCCAGAGTGTGCTGGTCCTGACCTGTCCTAACCGTGTCCCCGTCTCTGTGAAGTGAAACTTGGATGACTGTAGTTGAGGACGATGGCGGTGGGTGGCGTGGGCGTGGATGTGAACATAAGGAGGTTTTTTCTGCCTCACCACTTGATTGAAAATCTAAAAATAAGAAGTGAAATAAAGGAAATAAAGTCCAGGTTATTAGATTCTCTCTCTGGAAGATTCGCCTGATTTTCCTGTCGAAGAATTCAGCAGCAGAAATAAGCGAAGGAGCGCGGCGGCGGCGGCGGCGTCTTCTGTTGGACTGAATTATACAAGGAGTCATGAACAAATAATGGAGTTATGAAGGAACAAAGCGCCGCTGCTTCCCTCAGCCTGCAGAGAAAAGCTGTTTTTCTGTCACATAAGAGCCCGCTCCACACATGGCTGCCACCAGAGCGCCGTGTCAGAGCGCCGTGTCACAGCATGCTTTATTCAAAGGCCGTGAGTGGATTCACGTCTACAGCCGAGGCTACAAGAAGTCGTAGATGGAAAGCATTAAGAGCATGACTGGAAGTCCTCAGAGGAGCCTGGAAGCCCCCCAGCTGGTCCCAAACATAGACACTGACTTTTTCATTCAGCCCGCTGTTACATCACCGTCCGCCATCCTCCACTTTCCCCGCTTTGTGCCTCTACAATGGCTGTGCAGCGACCCGAGGGCCCGGGGCCGGCGAAACACCGAGCAGAGCGCCGACCGAGAGTGGAGGAGAAGGAGGAGGAGGAGGAGGAGGAGACAAAAGTGTGTTTCTGTTGAGGCAGCATATCGTTCAGGTCAGAGGGGTCCACGCACGCACGCACGCCGTGTCCCCGCCGTGCACCATCATCTGCAGACTACATCTACAGAGTGATTGTTCCTTCTCCAGCTCAGACCCTAAACCTGATCCTGATCCTGATCCTGAGTCTGGGGATCTCAGATGTGGGTTCTCCTGATGCCGGATCACTGAAGCACAGAGTCTGAGGAAGAGGTTTCCTCCACAACTGGACTCCAGAAGAACCTGCATGAGGCCCAGTGTGTGTGTGTGTGTGTGTGTGTGTGTGTGTGTGTGTGTGTGTGTGTGTGTGTGTGTGTGTGTGTGTGTGTGTGTGTGTGTTTGAGAGCTGGCCTGACTCAGGGGAGGCTGAGGTCACAGAGGGGCTAACATAAAGGATTATCCTCTGTGTGTGACTCTCCTCCCTGACTTCCACTCCTGCTGTCCGTCCCTAATCCCCCCCCAGCTGATTTGATTTCCTCTCATGTCCCAGCGTTAATACAGGTGGGCCGGGCGACTAAAACCCAGAGAGAGAGAGAGAGAGGGAGAGAGAGAGAGGGAGAGAGAGAGAGAGAGAGAGAGGCTCAGCAGAGTCATGCTAACACCGCCGTCTCCCTCAGACTGTGAAGATGCTGGCTGTCGCTCCCCTGACATCACCCTCTGAGTTGATAGCTGATATGAAGCTGGAAGTGACCATATTTGGGCATTTCGTGGTTTAAGTCATCACTCAGTTCGTTTACAGTCTCAGTTTAATCAGAATAAACTCATAATTCGTCTTTTTCTCTGAATCAGACTTCTCTCCTCGTCCTCGTTTACATGCAGCTGAGAAAACTGAATTATTGACGTGAACGTGTCCTCCTCCCCAACACTAGGGGGCGATGTGGGTCTTTTCAGTGGCGAACTCTACTCCTGGTGTTTTTGTTCTGGGGTTACGGGGGCGTGGCTCACATGCATTGTCCGATCATACTCCGACTTCGCTGGTTACATGGTAGAGAAATATTTCATTATCTGTGTGTCTTAATCAGAGTTCTTAAACTCCGATTATAGTCGGACTAAAGTGTTTACATGACCTTCAGTTGTCCGGTCTTAATCGGAATAAGGCGATAATTCGGTTTTCTCGAGTGTCATGGAAACGGACTGAAACGTCATATTTGGTGGAGCAGCTCTGCTCCTGCACATGTGTGGAGGGGCGGAGCCTGAGGATGGGAGGGAACGCCCCCCTCAGTTTTATCAACACAGAGGCAGGAGGAGCAGCAGCAAAGACCCCTCCCTCTGTGTGGACTGCAGCAGAGAGCCTCGTGTGGACACTTTAGGAACTGTATTTTTGGTGTCTGTTTAATCTCAGGGTGGTTTCTGTTCAGCTGCTAAAGTCGGGTTCAGACCTGAGTAACTCGGAGCAGTGACGTGTTTTTACTCTCCAGTGAGAGGCGCTCTCACACACCTCTGTCCTGTTGTTAGCGCTGTAAGGGACGGATGGAGCAGCAGAGAGAAGATCCTGCAGTCGAACCCTCAGGCCTCTTATCTCAGTCAAATATTTGAGCACAGCTGTCGGAGTGTGCGCTCTGATAAGTGATTGTGTTTGTCCGGAGCTGATAAACCTGAAAGGATTTGTAGCTGCTGAGTGTCATCCCCACATGAACCTTCAGAGTGAACGTCTGCTCGGTTACAGCTGCTAACGTTTACAGGAATCACATCTCAGATGTTGATATGAAAGTCAAACTGTGAATGTGTTTGGTTGGTTGTTGTACATGTTTACAGAGACAGTGATGGGCGGGTCCAGTCTGATATAGACACGGACAGACGTGCTGATGGAGGAGGTCTTTGTGATTAAGGTTGACGAGAACTTCTCTGACTCCTTCTGAAGTTCTTCTCCTCACTGTTGTGTGGATTCAGGGACCAGCAGCAGACTCTCTCTTCACCTGACGGCCTGTCTTTGCTTTAAAACCTGTAAAGGTCAACAGTGAGTGACGGCGGTCCGGCCGCTGACTGGGACGCTCTAATGGGCTTAGATGGAGCAGCGGTCCTCATGCAGCTGTGTGTGATTCCATGTAGGCTAAACCTATTAGCTGAGTGCTCAGGCAGCCGCGGTGCATCGATAACCCTTCATTTCCACACCCTACTACACTTCACTCACTGCTCCACGCCGCTCAGGGATGATGTCATCCAGAGGAAGGTTTGAACGCCAGCTGTGATGAACATGCACAGGAGCTGCTTCACAATCAGAAAACTGATCGATCAATGAGGAGATCACCAACTCAGACTCTGCTCCGACTCCTGACATGATTCATGTCGGTGAGGAACCTTAGAGAAGAAGGAGCTCAGGGCCTGAGGTGGACAACCATGCAGCGGGGGTCAGGCAGGTCCACAGCAGACCGTCTGGACCATCAGTCCAGAGGAACCTGGGAGACTCTCAGAGAGACCTGGTTAATAACGAGCTGGAAGAATCTGAGATCATGGACTGATGGTGATCATGAGGATCAGTAAAGCGGGTCTGTAGCGGTCCTGACCTGATCAGAGGAGTGACGCAGACTGTGTGTCTCCCCCCCGGGGGCTCTTATCAGCTGGGAAACAGACAGAGAAGTCCACCTTATCTCTGCTCCTCACCGCCTGGTTTACAGAAATGTTGTTCTGCAGCCAGCCGTAAAGATCCTCCACCCACCCACTCACCGTCTCTCTGTGTAAATAAATAAATAAATGAATATATGTGCAGTGATGAGGTTTCTGCCTTGTTGTGGTTGTTTGGCAGCAGTGATCCCCTCAGGCTCTCTGTGGGAACGTGGAGATGACATGGTTTATATCGAGGATTAATGAATCTTTCAAGGGGCTTCGTTTCTATCCTGAGTGTGTGCCAGTGTGTGTGTGTGTGTGTGTGTGTGCCAGTGTGCGTGTGTAGGTTAGCCCATCCCTGTACATCAGTAATCACAAACACACAGCTGAACCCTGTCAGAGTAGAAGGACAAAAACATGATGAGGACATGTTCTCCGTCATGAGGAGCACCGTCGTATCTCAGCGGGTTTCTCTGCTGAAAATAAAACCTCAATAAGACGTCTGAGGTACGACTGCAGGAAACGGCCTCGTGTTTTTATTTTCACTGGAAGCGTCTTGGTATTTGGCGATATACTCAGATAGTACATCTTAAATCTCCTGATCTCTTCCTCCTCGTCCGTCACAGTGAAGTGAGGCGGTAAACACCTCCTTTAGACTCCTCTGGTCTGGCTGGACGATCCTCCATGTTGACTCTCAGATTACTCGTATTTCCCCGAGTCATATTGTTTAGTCGTTGGTCCAGCACCTTTTCTCTTTGCTCATGTCTGCTGTGGAAGGTCTCCACAGGCCGGATAGAGGAGCTGCTGGGAGGTCCGCAGCTTCAGTCTGGTCGTTCTCCCAGCCTTATTCTATTATTTTATGTTTTTTGTGTTGTACATACTTGTATATTGAAGATCTGTATACACATTGCATATTTTGATTATTTTTTTATTTTACTTATTTAATCTATTTATTTATCTCGTCTTTCTACTTAATTTGCACTGGAGTTACTGTAACAAAAATCACTTTCTCCCTGAGCTTTATTAAAGGATTTCTGATTCTGAAAGAGAGTAAAAGTGTGCTCTACCCGCCTCACAGAGAACAAAGGTGTGCTCTACCTGCCTTAAAGAGAGTAAAGGTGTGCTCTACCCGCCTCACAGAGAACAAAGGTGTGCTCTACCTGCCTTAAAGAGAGTAAAGGTGTGCTCTACCTGCCTCACAGAGAACAAAGGTGTGCTCTACCTGCCTTAAAGAGAGTAAAGGTGTGCTCTACCCGCCTCACAGAGAACAAAGGTGTGCTCTACCTGCCTTAAAGAGAGTAAAGGTGTGCTCTACCTGCCTCACAGAGAACAAAGGTGTGCTCTACCCGCCTCACAGAGAACAAAGGTGTGCTCTACCTGCTGCCCCCCCCCAGGTTTTGGTATTTCAGATGTGCCGATGGCAAACCTCAGAAAAATCGTTCCTTTTGACAAAAGTAGTCGTCTCTGACTGACTCTTTGGTTTTGTATTATTGTGAGTCTGAGACGGTCTGCAGACTCTCTCTCTCTTGATATTAAAGAGACCTCCTCCTCCTTCTCGGTTTGTTTTTCTCGTCTTGTTTTGTCGAGCTGCGGTTCAGTCCTGGTACCTGACATCATCTTGTCTGCGCTTCTTTCCGGCGCCTCTCTCAGTCTCCGATCGATAGAAGACGTCTTTCTCCTCGCGCCGCTCCAACGATGCTCTGCGGCGTGAAGTGGGCGAGCTTTAATGTGCGAGCTGTTTGATAGCTGTTTCTGATGTGTGACAGGCTGTTGGATCTGTCTATACGCTGTAAACGTTCCCAACATTATCCTGTTCTTGACGTGCGTCCTCCCCTCTCAGTTTATCGCCCTTTTCCTGTGTGAGCCGTGTTCGCAGAGCGATTAGTGCGTTTTAGGACACCTGGTCTGTGGTTGATCGGGTGGCGAAGTGAGCTGACGCTGGGCAGGAGGACAGGAACACGGTGGCATCGGGCCAGAACAGATGGTCACAAGTTTGAGTGTCAACACAACAGAGTGGCGGGCAGGAGTGCAGCTCACACCTCTGTCTAAGAATAAAACCCCTGGTTCCCTAGGTGACCCCCTCAGCGCCTGCAGCCTTTTTAATTACATGTGAGTCTGCAGAGAGAGAGAGAGGGAGAGAGAGAGAGAGAGAGAGAGAGAGGGAGAGAGAGAGAGAGAGAGAGAGAGAGAGAGAGAGAGAGAGAGAGAGAGAGAGAGAGAGAGAGAGGGAGAGGAAGAGGAAGAGGAGAGAGAGAGAGAGAGAGAGAGAGAGAGAGAGAGAGAGAGAGAGAGAGAGAGAGAGAGAGAGAGAGAGAGAGAGAGAGAGAGAGAGAGAGAGAGAGAGAGAGAGAGAGAGAGAGAGAGAGAGAGAGAGAGAGAGAGAGAGAGAGAGAGCTGAAGATGTTGTTACCCTCACCCTCACCCCCCCGTCTGAACGGTGACTCATCCTCACCAAACGGCGTGCTGGATTCACTGACTACCTCCGAACATTTCATTACTCCGACCTCCAACAGAGGAGCGTTTCTTCTACATGTGAGTGAAGTCATGAAGCAGCAGAGTGGACCTTCAGAACCCGTCCCAACAGAACTCTCACAGGAACGCTCGGGTCCTGACTCTTCTCCGTGGTTAAAACGGGATTGTTAGAGAAAGACGTGTTCGCTGCTCGGTTAAACCTTCAGTTAGAGACGGTCTATTTCCTGCTGCAGAGGTAGTTTCACAGTAAACAGATGAATGAAGGGGAGGGGCATGAACCTCCATCAGGACCAGGACCCCAGTGACAGTTTCGCTGTAAACAGTCTCTCTTCACTCTGGTTTCCTGTCGTCTATACAGAGTCTCAGTTTCTCTGTAAACAGTCCCAGTTTGGTGTAACTTTTTCTCTCTTTGTCGTTGTTTCCTCGAACCTCTCTCCTGTTTCTTCCTGTTTGATCAGTTGTGTTTTTATTTTGTATATCTGAGTATGAACTCCCTCTTTGTTAAAGTCTTGAAGTCTCGCTGGTTTAGGGTGAACAAACTCAGTCTTGTGTCTTTAGTCCTGAACCAGGTCTTCTCCGGTGTAGTCGAGGTCTCTCTGCTCGGACTTGTTGAGTTTCTGTGAATCATTCTTGATCCGGGAGCGTCTGAATGAAAGCAGAGAGAGTTTGAGAGAAAAGTGTGTGTCTGGATGTTTTTGTGTTTGCTTTGTCTTCCCTCCTCCTCCTCCTCCTCCTCCTCCTCCTCCTCCTCCTCCTCCTCTTTGGCTCACACTCATCTCTCTTTAATGCAGCAGGACTGGAGGGAAAGTGGGTCAGGAGGAGGAAGCTGGAGCAGACTTGGCCGTAGTGCTGTTGACTTTTGGACGAGTGTTTTACAGTAGAGGGGGGTGTTGGTGAGAAGGACGAGGAGGTTTCTTTTAAAGGTTGTTGATGGTTTTAAACTCCTGAAGGAGGTGTTGGACACAGATCTGCTCCTGTCCTGGATCAGAGAGGCCTGAGGGTCGAAAGGAGGAACTCTGTGACCTCCACCACAGTCGCAGATAGAAGAACAACTTCAGGACTCTTCTCTCATGAAGTTTCAGTCAGGTTTCTCCCCCCCTCCCTCTGTGTCCTCCTCCCTCTGTGTCCTCCTCCTCCCTCGGTGTCCTCCTCCTGAACAGATGTCAGTGAGTCAGTGAAAATGTGCAGCAGCTCGCTGAATCAGAGCTGACACCGAGCTTTTCCTGCAAACATCTGCAGCGGGTCACCGTCCAGGGAGGGTTCGATCTACCTGAGCTTCAGAGGTCTCTGTTGAGGGGTGAAGGTGTCTGAAGGTGGAGGTGTGGAGGGAGAGGGAGAGGAAGGAGAGCAGAGACAGGAATGTCTCCGCTCTTAAAATAGTCCCAATAAATCGTCTTTATGAGGTTGACTCTCACTCTGACCCTGATCCGCTCACTGAAGGTTCGTCACCTTCATTATTTTATTTTATAGACGAGAGAAAAGAGACAAAAAAAAAGTGTTTAAATTTATAACAAAAGTAATAAAAGGAGATAAAAACCAGCTGTGAAGAAGAGAGACTGAATGAGTTTATAACTAATGATTCAAACAGCAGTAATAATCAACCATCAGGTACCTGTGCAGGTAAACGGGTTCAACATTTAAACCTGAAGTACATGATCCTTCAAAATAAAAGCCTCTCTCACAGTTTCAGGGATATCGGATTAAAAAACTGTTTTCTTGTTTGGCGGTTGATGATGTCATTATTTCTCCGTAAATGACCACGAATCCTGACTCCAACCTCAGCAGGGGTCCGTTCAGACCTGGACCTGCGTGTTTCCTGTGGTTCCTGTGGTTCTTCAGACCTCTAAAGCAGTAAGGCGGTCCTGATCTTCTCTAACTGTGGTTCTCCTGCTCTTCTTCTCCACACAGACTCTGCAGCCTCACTCTGAAGAAGCTGGTGGTCCTCAAAGAGCTGGATAAAGAGCTGAACTCCTTGTCGATAGCCGTCAAAATCCAGGTGAGTCTGAAAAGACCGACACACCTGATCAGAGTCTGGGGGGGTCAGGGTTCCTGAGGTGTTTGTGACTTGACCCTTGATTTTAGTGACGGTTAAAAACCTCCAGAGTTTTAGAGTTTAGAGAGGAACATCTGAATGATTTGATCTCTGAGGACCTTCAGCCGTTCTTCAGACTCAGCTTCATGTTTGTTGTGTTTCCTCTTCGCCGTAACCGGAGCAACAACCGTCACCCCGTCCTCCAGCAGGTATTCAGAGTGTTCCTCCAGCTGACGGCAGGAGAACCGATCTGCTGCTGCTCAGACCAGAGTCTGTGAGAGAGACGGCTGAGAGGTTGTTTTAGCTGCTGAAGCCCCGCCCCTGACGGCGACCTCATGTTTATGTGTTTGTGTGCGAAAACTTGAGCGGCGAGAGAGAAGAACCAACTCCAGAGAGGAGAGTGACCCATAAAAAAGGTCTTTTAAGAGCTGATGGAACATCTAGACTTAAACATCTATATTTTCATAGACAGTGAAGAGGTGTTTGTAAGAGAGGAACATCTAGACTCAAACATCTATGTTTTCATAGCCAGTAAGTGATGGTTTGGTAGAGCGCCTCCTGAAGGTCTTTGGAGGTTTAAAAAATAAACGTTCCTCTGTCTGCTGCTCTATCTCCTCTCTCTCTCTCTCTCTCTCTCTCTCGCTCTCTCTCCCCCCCCCCCTCTCTCGCTCTCTCTCTCTCTGTCTCTCTGTCTCTCTCTTTTCCCCTTTCTCTCTCTCTCTCTCTCTCTGTCTCTCTGTCTCTCTCTTTTCCCCTTTCTCTCTCTCTCTCTCTCTCCCCCTCTCTCTCTCTCTCTTTTCCCCTTTCTCTCTCTCTCTCTCTCTCCCCCTCTCTCTCTCTCTCTTTTCCCCTTTCTCTCTCTCTCTCTCTCTCTCTCTCTCTCTTTCCCCTTTCTCTCTCTCTCTCTCTCTCTCTCTCTTTTCCCCTTTCTCTCTCTCTCTCTCTCTCTCTCTCTCTCTCTCTCTCTCTCCCCCTCTCTCTCTCTCTCTTTTCCCCTTTCTCTCTCTCTCTCTCTCTCCCCCTCTCTCTCTCTCTCTCTCTCTCTCTCTTTTCCCCTTTCTCTCTGTCATGACCCGGCTCAAAGGCCATGAAAAAGATTGCGAGGCGTACGGGTTTAAACTTAAAACGGAAGATTTATTAACAACAAAGATTAAGTAAATAATTGAATACCCAAGAAAAGAACTAAACTAACAAAGCTTCTAAACTAAAACAAAACATTGTGCCACGAGGATCACTGCCGTGGTGCGCAGCGGAGGAGGGAGAGAGATACACTGATCCTTGATGAGGGCTTTTAACACCTGGTGGAATGGCCAGATCCACGCAGGTGTGGCCAAGCCCACTCACCAACCTGCCAGGGAGAGAGAAAAGACAAAGAACAACAGCAAACCCTGGAGGCCGGAGGCCATCACAGGCAGGAGGCCGTCACACCCCCCTCCATAAAAACGGGGCTCCCATCCCCGGAACCATAAACAATCCCTCTGAAAACAAGGTTCACTTGTAACTTACTAGTTGATTGCAAAACAAGAGAAAAACATTTAACTTTTTTTTTTTTTTAATCATTATTATCAATACTATGTACTTAAACATTACTTTACAAAACTTACCCAGGCTCACAATATCATTTTACTCTCTTCAAGAAAACTTACCCAATGCTCATTATTTATATCCCCATCCTGACCTGCATGACACCCCTCCCACCTCAGCAACCTGGTACCTAGGAGCAATTTAAGAGGGGGGAAACGAGGGAAACAAGTTGCAGAAAGAGTACAAAAAAACAAAAAACATGGGTAACTCACACGGCTACAACACTACACAGGTGCTCTGGACAAGGCGTCTGCCACCACATTGTCAGAACCCTTGATGTGTCTAATGTCCAGCCAGTGCGACTGGAGATAAAGTGACCACCGGACTAATCTTTGATTTGGAAACTGTAACGTATTTAAAAAAACAAGCGGATTATGATCAGTATAAACCACGATAGGCACCAACCCGGACCCCAGATACACATCATAATGTTTCAGAGCCCACACTAAGGCCAAGGCTTCCTTTTCAATGGTCGAGTAATTGAGTTGGTAGGAATTAAACTTTTTTGAGAAGAAACTCACTGGCTTCTCAATCCGAAAATCATCCTTCTGTAATAACACCGCCCCCACCCCCACGTGACTCGCGTCAACCTGAAGCGCAAACGGACGGTCAAACCTGGGGGCAGAAAGGATAGGCGCGTTACACAATACTGATTTTGCCCTGTCAAACGCCAGTTGACACACGGGAGACCACACAAAGACCGCGCTTGCCTTTAACAAGTCTGTTAATGGAGCAACTACCTCCGAGAAGTTTCTGCAGAAACATCGGTAATAACCTACAAGACCTAAAAAACGCATAAGCTCTTTTTTAGTCGAGGGTACCGGATAACTTGCCACTGCTTTTATTTTTTCTTCAACAGGACGTACCGCACCCTGCCCCACAACCCTACCAAGATAAGTCACTGTCGCTTTGGCAAACTCGCATTTGGCGAGGTTGACGGTGAGACGTGCCTCAGCCAAACGACTAAATAACTTCTCAATTCGCTCAACATGCGAAGACCACGTGTCAGAAACAACCACAACATCATCCAGGTAGACTGTGCAGCCTTCCAAATCTCCCAAGACCCTTGTCATAAGCCTTTGGAAGGTTGAAGGGGCATTACGAAGCCCAAAAGGCATTACCTTATATGAAAACAAACCAGTCGGAGTGATAAATGCCGATAACTCACGCGCACGCTTGGACAAAGGGACTTGCCAATAACCTTTCAAAAGGTCAAACTTGCTCACATATTTGGCATGGCCCACCTGATCGACACAGTCCTCCATACGGGGAAGAGGGAAGGAATCCGGCTTTGTAACAGCGTTTAATTTTCTAAAATCAGAACAAAACCTGGGCGTGTTATCTGATTTTGGAACCAAAAGGCAAGGCGACGCCCAACTTGAAGAGGAGGGTTCAGCTATTCCGTTTTCAATCATATATTTTATTTCAGCATCCATGTATTTACGTTTTTCGGGGTTCACCCTATAGAATCTTTGCCTGATTGGCTGCGCATCTCCAACATCGATGTCGTGCTCAATCAAGTGTGTCCGTGTGGGTGCGTCACTGAACAAGCCCGGGAAAGATTTTATTACCCGACACAAATCTGCCTGTTCTGACTCTGCTAAATGCCCCAAGAGGACGTGTAAATTCCTCAGGGACTCCGAGTTGTTTAGGCGGCCTTGAAGGACAGCGGTATCAACACACGGCAAACCATCCTCCACCTCAGCGGACACCGACTGTGGGGGATAAACAGTGGACACTCTCCCCACCAAACAAGCGGGATGCGCACCAGCTGGGACAGGCTCTTGGGAAGCACCTGAAACACGAGCATAATATGGTTTTAACAAATTCAAATGGCACAGTTGGACTTTTCGCCTTCGCTCAGGTGTCGAAATAAGGTAATTGTTTTCCGATACTTTTTTCGTCACTTTATAAGGCCCAGAATACTTAGCCTGAAGTGGCGAATTCACCAGCGGCAACAAAGCTAAAACTTGGTCTCCCATACTAAAAACACGATGTTCAACACGCCGGTCATAGAGCCTTTTCATCTTGTCCTGAGCTGCGGTTAAGTTTTCCTTTGCCAATTCACCAGCAGCATACAGTCTATGACGGAACCCATTTACATAGTCGATAAGATTTTTCGGTGCATCTGCAACCTTCCACTCATCGTAAAGAACCTTCAGTGGACCACGCACAACGTGACCAAACACTAACTCATTGGGACTGAAACCAGTGCTCTCCTGCGTTACCTCTCTAGCCGCCAGCATTAACCATGGTAATCCTTCCTCCCAATCTCTATCAAACTGAACGCAATAAGAGCGCAGCAATGATTTTAATGATTGATGGAAACGCTCCAAAGCTCCCTGACTCTGAGGATGATAAGCAGAGGCTTTGTTGTGCTTAATATGGAGCTGTTTCAACACTTGAGCAAAGAGATTGGAGGTAAAATTTGACCCTTGATCAGACTGGATCACTTTTGGAATGCCGAAAATGGAAATGAATTGTGACAGCGCGCGCACTACTGAACGCGCAGTGATCGTGCGCAATGGATACGCCGCAGGGTAACGGGTGCTTTGGCACATGACAGTCAACAAATATACCGCACCAGAACGAGAGCGAGGGAGTGGCCCGACACAATCAACGATGAGGTGATCAAACGGCTGATTTACTGCAGGAATCGGGAGCAGAGGAGCAGGTGTAATTTTCTGATTCGGTTTTCCCGTGAGTTGACAGGTGTGACATGTTTTAATATAAGACGCTACATCTGTCTTAAGTCGCGGCCAAAAGAACTGCCTCAGGACCCGGTCGTATGTTTTTCCCACTCCCCAGTGTCCCGATTGGTCATGAGCAAGTTTTAACACCGACTCCCGGAATTTATCAGGCACAACGACTTGAATAACGGGATCTCCAACGAAATCTTTCCCATGAGGCATCCATTTCCGGACCAACAGTTCATTGTGTAAAAAATAACCCCAGGAATTATTTTCTACCTCGTCTTCAGGCAACACCATGTCAAACAACCCTTTCAAAGAAGAATCTGCCCGCTGCTCCAACTTCAACTCCTCCTGCGAGACCGAGAGAGGGACATCAGACAGAGAAAACGGAACAAACTTGGATTTCTCACCTCTACTCTTTGCAGCCTCCGAGCTTAACTCGGGAGTGTCACGTGTCATTGAGCGAGTGACTGCACACGCTGTAAAAACTTCAGGAAGACTGCTCTGATTCTCATCTGGTTGTCTTTTCACCAGCAGAACAACAGATACTACTGGTGGCGGCGGAGCTGGAGCATCAGCCCAGACACGTCCACCTGCTACACCGTTACCCAAAATCAGGGTGATGCCCTCAATTGGAAGCGCAGGTCGCACACCGACCGTTATCTGCCCCTGAAAGAGATCGGAATAAAGCAACATCTTGTGCAGTGGAACTTTCATGACAGTCATTCCCATTCCAACCACCGGAATAAAACTCCCAGTGTGACTTTTTTCAGAGAATGGCAACACAGAAGCCTGAATGAACGAATCAAAGGCAGCTGTATCACGCAATATTTTGACAGGAACTTTTTCATCACTTCCCACCAAAGAGACATGACCATTTGAGACAAAAGGCAAGAATGATTCGAGCTCTCCAGGTACAGCTTTACCCTTGTCACAGATTCCCAACTGCCCCGTAAGTATTCTTGGCTTCGAAACAGCGAGACATGCCGCTTTAGGCTGCCCCGCAGCTCCACTCTGTTTGTTTTTAGATTGTAGTGCAAAACAGTCCACTTTAAAATGTCCTCTTTTGTGACAGTAGTTACATATTTTATCAGCCTTGCTCGCCTCATGGCCTTTAAAGTCCAACTTCCCTACAGGAAGATTGTAACTCCCCGCACCGGCATCCGTGCGCTCACTCAAACTGGACCTGTGAGCGCGCATCTCTCCAAAAGAGCGTCTGTGCGCTAACACATACTCATCAGCGAGCCTAGCGGCTTTATTTACATTTTCGACATCGTGATCATTAATGTGCTGTGCAATATTCTCTGGAAGAGAACTTTTAAATTGCTCCAAAATTACCAGGTCGCATAAATCCTCAAAGCTCTCGATTTTTAACGCGGAACACCATCGCGTAAAGTGACAAATTAAATCCCGAGCAAACTCTAAGTATGTTTGTTTATCATTCTTTTTCCATGAACGAAAACGTTGGCGATAGGCTTCAGGGACAAGCTCATAAACTTTTAATACAGCAGATTTTACTAATTGGTAATTTTGGCTGTCTGACGCGGACAGGGCTGAATAGGCTTCTTGTGCTCTGCCGGTCAGCGCGCACTGCAACATTAACGTAAAAACAGATTCCGGCCACTTTCTGGACTCGGCAACGCGCTCAAATAACGAAAAAAATGTCTCCGGTTCTCTCTCATTAAATTTTGGCAACAGTCTCAAATTTCCCAAAACATCAAAACCATCAGGAGAACACGAGGAGGCATCCAAACCCCCAGAACCATCTCCGACTAACCTACCGCTTTTAATTAAATCCATCTGATTCTGCTGTAGTTGGAGTTTTGTCTGCTCAGTTTGAAATCGCAACCTCTCAATAGCCAACTGCGTATCCGTTTCCACTTGTTTTAATTTATCACGCTCTAATTGCAACATCATCATTTCTTTTTGCTGCTCAAAGGTGAAATTCGTCGCTGCAACAGATGGAGAATCAACTGCACCGGGAGGATCGGTCGCCATAACACCCATCTCATCCAAATTTGCTTTTAAAATACTTTTAATTGTGTCCTTTAACCGCCTGTCGGATATTTCGATTTCAAAATGATCTGCAATCTTAAGCAGCTGTTCCTTGGTGCATTTATTTAATAACTCGCTCGAAGGAGCCGCAACGAAGTCAGAAATATCCGACATTTCAATCACTCGCGGTTTCAAATCAAAAGAAATTTACTTACTCAACTACCTCGCGCACATCAGGTGTTATCCAACACCACAGAAATACCTACCGAGCTGCTTACGAAACAAAAAAGGTTGAGACACCCCGAACCCTTAACTACCTACCCCATATCTTACTAGGACCTCATCCTAGTCTTCACTGGCGTGCCGAGCTCGAAACGTCACCAGACCCAAAATAACACCCCCGACCATGGCACGGTAGAGCGTGATATCCCGAGCCTTGCGCGCTCCCTCCTCAGGATTTGCCAGCAAAAACAACAAACTAAAACAAAAAAGTGACAAGTCCTGCTTGTCCGACGGCTAAACTCATCAGGGTGCTCAAAACATACAAACAAAAACAAAACCGACAAAATACCAACATAGCAGCTACAGCAAATAAACAAAATTATTATTATTTTAATCGTGAAACATTTTTTTTAATAACCCCGTATCACCCCACGTAAAAGTGCCAAACCTGTTTCACAAAGCACAACCTCTGGGTTCCGAAACCTCCGAGTAGTAAGAGCGGTGACGTCACTAATTCACAACTTACTAAGTTCATTCACAAATCGAGTGAATCAACACCTACCGAGGTGAAAAAACGCAACAAACGGACGAGCCCCCATTTTGTCATGACCCGGCTCAAAGGCCATGAAAAAGATTGCGAGGCGTACGGGTTTAAACTTAAAACGGAAGATTTATTAACAACAAAGATTAAGTAAATAATTGAATACCCAAGAAAAGAACTAAACTAACAAAGCTTCTAAACTAAAACAAAACATTGTGCCACGAGGATCACTGCCGTGGTGCGCAGCGGAGGAGGGAGAGAGATACACTGATCCTTGATGAGGGCTTTTAACACCTGGTGGAATGGCCAGATCCACGCAGGTGTGGCCAAGCCCACTCACCAACCTGCCAGGGAGAGAGAAAAGACAAAGAACAACAGCAAACCCTGGAGGCCGGAGGCCATCACAGGCAGGAGGCCGTCACACTCTCTCTCTCTCTCTCTCTCTCTCTCTCTCTCTCTCTCTCTCTTTTCCCCTCTCTCTCTCTCTCTCTCTTCCCCTTTCTCTCTCTCTCTCTCTCTCTCTCTCTCTCTTTTCCCCTCTCTCTCTCTCTCTCTCTCTCTCTTTTCCCCTTTCTCTCTCTCTCTCTCTCTCTCTCTTCCCCCTTTCTCTCTCTCTCTCTCTCTCTCTCTCTCTCTTTTCTCTCTCTCTCTCTCTCTCTCTCTCTCTTTCCCCTTTCTCTCTCTCTCTCTCTCTCTCTCCCTTTCTCTCTCTCTCTCTCGCTCTCTCTCTCCTTCTCTCACCCTCTCTCTCTTTCTCGCCCCCCCCTCCTGATTTTCTCGCCCTCCTCTCCGTCGGCGTCGTTCCGCCGTACTCTCTGATTTTACCCAAAGAGAAACGAATCGTCCTGCTTTACTGTCATCCTGGAGGAGAAAGTAACCGACCGAGAGCGGCGTGCTCTGCGGAGCGTGAAATCCCTGAGTTTCTGCTGAGCTGCCCCCAGGACGGCGAGCGGCGCTCTGCTCACCGCCGCTCTGGAACTGGAGCATTAAATGCAATTTCCAGCAGGTTTGGTCGTGGAGAGCGGAGCCGCCGAGGGGATGAGGAGACGGTTGGAGAACATGAGGGAGGGATCTGAGAAGAACAGGAAGTCATTTCAGCGTGTCCTACTCTCTGCGTCTCATC